CTCTTTCTTTGGTCATTATTATGAAAAATATCATTTAATACTATAATATGTTTTCTTTGAGTCACATTTTTTAATCTAATATTTGTGGACAGAATCATGAACTAAAGCAGCATCTCCAATAACTAACAGTATTTTCTAATAACAATTATAATTTATGGTTATATACACACTGTGAAAATGACCAAACAGAGAAAAACGAGTTTCTTCATCAAACTAAATATCATCTGCAAAATTATTCAAAATTATTTAAAAATCAGAAAATAAACCCCAATTTTTTAACCTTTTCAGCAAAATAATCTCGATTAATTTCATGTAGAAGTCAAAGAAACTTACATCCAACATCCAGCCTGGTTCCTCCACGAACGTGCCACACGTGATACAAACTGACGAGGCGTCGTACAAAAACCTCGATAGAGAGGGCACGCTCTCTGACTCTAAACACAAACAGTCTGTGAAACACAGCTGCTACAGGGAAATCCACTCAGAGTGACAGAAATCACAACAAGAAGAATTAGTTTAATTTAGTCTTTCCTTTCTCTTTTCAGTTTTATGTAAAAAAAGGTATTTAAAGTTCATCGCTGCACATTTATTGTTGTTTGCTTCTTTTTTTGAAGCCAAACCAGTCAAACGGTACTTTAGAGGCTGTTTGTCTTGACCAGTGTTGGATAAGTTACTTTTTAAAAGTAATTAATTACTAATTACTTATCCAGTGGAAAAAAAGTTAGCTTGTTTATATTATGCTAACATAGCTGTGTCGCTAGCGGTCACGTAGCACATCATTATATAGCAGCTAGCCCAACTTCAGTAACCCTACAAACGTCACTGCTGTTTAGTTTTCTGTCTTCATTTATGCTGGAAGTGATAACAGAGCTGTACGTTTGAATTTGTTTCCAAAACCCCGCAGTCAGGACATGCTATATTGTATTTAGATAGAAGCTAGCGAGCTAACTCCCTGCTAACTTCTAACTCCGTTAAATGTCATAAATTCCGTTTTCATGGATGCCTGGATGTTAAACTCAATTGTTACAAACAACAGTATAACTTACAAGGCACCATCATTAATCCGATTATGTTACATCCTCGGTTGAGATAGCAGAAAAACGCTGATATTTTATTAGATGAAAGACTTTTAGTAGTTTTTTTTTTTTTTCAACTCTCAGGTAATTGCCTATAGTGGAATCTTTGATATTAATGGACTGCAAGGGGTTTTCAAGGAGAGACAACGGGCTAGGTTGAACGGTGTCGAACGTCTGCGGACCGGGATATATCCCTTTGATGTGACCTTCGTACGTTTGTCCCTGGCTCTTTATCTCTCTCCTCTTCCTCCTGCTCTGGGTTGCCTGTGCTAGAACTGGTGAGTGTAAGTAAAACTAAAT